CCTAGTGATACTGCCTCGGAAACCCAAGGAGGGGTCACTAAGTCGGATCCAACTTGACGGCAATAGGGGGGAAGGACACATTACAGGAGCTTTTTTTTTTTTTTTTTTTTAAGCAGAGATAGCTTCCCCTAATTTGATAATTTAGGAATGGCAGTTAATACCTAAGGCAGCCAAGAAAAAGTCATTTAATTGAATGCCATTTAATCTAGTGTGATTTTTCACAGTATAGTATGTAAATACATGCATACTTTGAAGAGTAGTCACCAAACCTTAGGATGTGGCAAAAGTTCTTCTTGCAGCTACACAGCTATTAGAAATTGGACATTGGATTAGTTTATACCCAAACTAATTATTATTTAGCTTCTGAAAGAAGACTAAACTACTATTTTGACGTGTGATATTTCTAGAGCTAGGAATTTGGGGACCTGGAATGTTTTCAGGAGTCTTTTATTAAGTTGCAATTAATTTGTCATCCTACAACCTACACTGTCAACTGCTCTGTTGGGATTTCTTGGCTGTAATCTTTACAGAAGCAGATTGCCAGACCTTTCTTCCTGTGAAACCAGTGGGTAGGTTTGAACCACCAACCTTTAATAGTCAAGCCCAAACCATTTGTATCACCCAGGGACCTTTGTATTTACAGGTATAAACCAAAAAAAGCCGAACTCATAGCCACTGAGTTGATTCTGACTCATAGTGATCCCCACTGGGTTTCTGAGGTAGTAAATATTTACAGAAGTAGATTGTCCCATTTTCCTTCCACGGTGCAGCTGGTGGGTTTGAACCATCAACCTTCTGGTTTGCAGTCAAATGTCTTAGGCACTGTGCCACAAGAGCTCCATTTACAGGTATACCGAAAACCAAACTCACTGCCAGAGAGTCGGTCCTACTCATAGTGACCCTTCCTTGGGTTTCCAATGTGGTATCTCTACAGAAGTAGATTGCCCAGTCTTCCTTCCAAGAAGTGGCTGGTGCGTTTGAACCTCCAGCCTTCTGGTTAGCAGTCAAATACATTAGGCACCATGCCACCAGAGCTCCTCTTTATAATATACAGGTATAGGGGCTGTGATTTTCATGTATATTTTGGGAAAAAACAATTCTGCCTTATCAGCAAGATGCTGGAAGTCTACACTGGAAAGCTTGGATTAAGGATATCTGTAGTATTGCTCAGAGTAGAATTTTGTTTTAGCATTCCAATATGAAAAGGTTTGATTTCTTTTTGACTTTTTGGTCTTGGTTTTAGCATTGGATTTGGAATTAAATATTAGAAACTTTTGGTAATATAATTGCTTACTAGTCTTTCTTTTTTTTTTTTTTTCACTTTTTCATTTTGTCTTTATCAGAAAAAGAATAAACCAAAAGAACCACCCAAAGCACCAAAATCAGCACCATTTTTCATTCCAACAGTTCCTGGCCTTGTACCCAGATACGCTGCACCTGAACAAAATAGTGAGACCCAGCAGGTAAAGCCTAATTGGAGCATTCTAAGTATATGGAGGGTGTTTTATGTGTTACCCTGTTGTAGTTTATTACCAAGATCTGATTGGATAGATGCAGAGGAAATTAAGGGTAGCTTTTAATTATAAGCTATGCATTTTTTATTACACTTAATGTTCTTTGAATGATGTGTATTTGTTTTTATTTAAGTCTAAAGTGGTTAACCTTGGAATATTGGCCCAAAAATCAGAGTTCTGCTTGAAACTTGAAGAAGGACTAGAAAATAATAAATGTAAGTTAAATGATAAAATATTTTAACAAGTATCTTCAAATTGGTTTACTATAAATGAAGGGAAATTAAAAGAAATATTACATTTCTCAGTTGAAGAGGTTAGTGAAAAAAAGGTTGAAATACTGGTTCTAATCTGAAGTCATTTTAGCTTTTACTGTATTAAATGCATTTAATAGTTATATAATATAATTTGTTACAATATTTACATAATTATATAACTTATTATAATATTTATAATATACAGCCACTCCTTGGAAGGAAGGTTGGGCAATCTACTTCTGTAGTGATACTGCCTTTGAAACCCAAGGAGTGGTCACTATGAGTCGCGTCCAACTCGATGGCAAATAACAACAACAACATATGAAATAAGTTTAAATGACATTGATATTGTGTTAATCTACTAAGAACCTTTCATACTTTCTGTATGGAAAATTATAATTTTTTTGGTATTTGTTCTGTATCAGATAATATGCAAGCTTTTTGCTTTTATTTACAGACTTTGCAATACAGCAGAGATTTTTGTGTTGGCAATTTCAAATATTCTCAAATTAACTCAACAAAAATATACTTGTAAATTTATTTATTGACAATGATAATAAATCTGAATTTTAAAGGCTTCAGTCTGTAGCTAATAATTGATGAACAGTTAGAACTGTAAGCTATTAAGAAAATCACAGTGACTATTCTGACTTCTGTTTTATGATCCAAATGCTTGTGTTTTCTTGGCAATATTACTTGCAAAAAGTCAAAGAATAGTACTGGTAGGCTTTTATGGATGACTCAAAAAGTAGCAGGAAGTAACTTACTATATTAATGGAGGGACAGAGAAGAAAAATACTAATGTTTAGTATAGCTGAGGGACTGAAAGTAAAATTGGTTAGAATTTTGGTGTTGGCATTTTTCTTTTTTCAAAAAGGTATGATGACCATACTTAATGCCATTGTAATATCAAAGGCCTCATATATAAAAATGGTTATAAGTGCATTGAATATATTTTCATAGGATGCATTTGAAACAGTAGTGCTTACTTCTAGGGAGAAGTAGGTTTGCAATAGGTAAGAACAGAAGATGGGATCTTTCTCCTCTTATTTTATATATTTCTGTATTGCTAGTATTTTTTAATGATCATATGGTACTTTAATATTTATAACAATAAAAAAGAAATTCCCCTTTTTCATCCTATTCCCAGTGGTAACCACTCTTAATAGTTTGGTATATACCTTTGTAGCCTTCTTAATAAGTTAAGTTATTTTCTGGTTGATTTATGAGTATGTTAAAGCATTAATTAGATTTTCTTTAATATCCTTAACAGCAGAAAGACAAATGACTGAAAACAAAGTATTTAGTGCTTTGGTACTTTTTTAGTATCTTTAATTTTAATCTCTCATGATGTGTACTAATTTCCACTCGTTTGGGAGTTTATTCTACTACAACATGAAAAAATTAACCCATAGAAAGAATTTCCTGTGCTTTTTGAAGATATGTTACTTGAGGTATAAATGAAAACAATAGTTTCCTAAGTGATGGTATGTAATAACTGGATTCTTTTTAAAACTTAATGCAGATGAGCCTGCTCTCAGTCTTCTGAAAGAATTAGGCCCATCAGCAATTGAAACAGAGCTGCGAAGCTTGTCCCCTGATTGTGGTGGGTCTATAGACGTCATGCAGAGCTTTTTGAAAATGATTGGGATGATGTTGGACAGAAAGCGTGATTATGAGTTAGCACAAGCATACCTTGCATTGTTTCTGAAGGTAAGTCTGATGTAAGGCAGTCCTTCCCAGCATGGTGGTGTTAGGTGCCGTTGAGTTGGCTCCAACTTAGCCCTATGTACAACAGAACGGAACACTGCCCTGTTCTATGCTGTTCTCACAATCCTTGCTGTACTTGAGCCCATCATTGAAGCCACTGTGTCAGTCCATCTTGTTGAGGGTCTTCACCTTTGTCACTGAGCCTCTACTTTACCAAACATGATGTCCTTCTCCAGAGAATGGTTACTTCTGACAACATGACCCACGTAGGTGAGACAAAGTCTGGCCATTCTTGCTTCCAAGGAGCACTCCGGCTATACTTTTTCCAGGACAAAGTTGTTTGTTTTCCTAGTGGTCTGTGGTACTTTCAGTATTCTTTGCCAACACAATTCAGAAGTATCTACTCTTCTTTGGTCTTCTTTATTCATTGTCCAGCTTTCACATGCATATGAGGTGATTGAAAATACCATGGCTTGTGTCAGGCACACCATAATCTTCAGAGTGACATCTTTGCTTCTTAACACTTTCAAGAGGTCTTTTACAGCAGATTTGCCCAGTGCAATATGACGTCTGATTTCATGACTGCTGCTTCCATGGGTGTTGACTGTGGATCCAAGTAAAATGAAAATCTCTAACAACTTCAGTTTTTTCTCCATTTGTCATGATGTTGCTTATTGATCCAGTTGTGAGGATTTTCATTTTCTTTATGTTAAGGTGTAACCTGTACTAAAGTCTGTAGTCTTTGATCTTCATCCATGAGTGTTTCAAGTTATCTTCACTTTCAGCAAGTAAGGTTGTGTCATCTGCATATCACAGGTTGTTAATAAGTCTTCTTCCAATCCTAATGCCACATTCTTCATATAGTTCAGCTTCTCGGATTATTTACTTAGCATACAGATTGAGTAAGTTTGGTGAAAGGATACAACCCTGACATACACCCTTCCTGATTTTAAACCATTTAAAAATCCATATTCTATTCAAATGACTGTCTCTTGGTCTATGTACAGATTTCTCATAAGAACAATTATGTGTTCTGGAATTCCCATTCTTCTCAATGTTATCCATAATTTGTTATGATCCACACAGTCAAATGCCTTTGCATAGTCAGTAAAACACAGGTAGATGTCTTTCTGGTATTCTTTGCCTTCAGCTAAGATCCATCTAACATCAGCAGTGATATCCCTTGTTCCACGTTCTCTTCTGAATCCAGCTTAACATTTCTGGAAGTTCTCTATCAATATACTGCTATGACCATTTTTGAATTATCTTCAACAAGATTTTACTTGTGTGTGATATTAATGATATTGTTCAATAATTTCTACATTCTTTCCAGCATACCTTCCTTTATAGCAATATTGTCTAATACAACTTTCTTTGAAGGTGGAAGTGTTGGATCTGACTGTCCAACATGGTAGCGTAAAAGCAAGTCAATGAGCACTTGAAATGTGACTTATGTGACCAAGAAACTGACTTTTAAATTTTATTGAATTTTAATTAATGTAAGCCTAAATAACCACATATAGCTACCATATGCCGACTCGACGGCAAACAACAACAACAACAACCATATTGGACAGTACAGCTTTAAGTAGTTACATTTTGGAAGTTTTTCTGTGTTCGTGAAAAAAAGTCAAACTATGTCTTTGTACTGTTGAAAAGGAATATTTACCACTAAAGTGGTTGAAGAAGTTTCAAGTGATTTGACAATAACAGGATTGCCAGCATTGGTTATGATGATGATGATGATGATGATGATGATAGAGATTATTGTTATTGTTTTGAGAGTCCACTACAGTAGTATAATGTGTTGAAGGAGGTAGATGATGCTGATTTTTGTGAAAACAGATACAGTTCTTATGCCATTAATATCTACAATGATCCTATTATTAAAAGGGTAGATATTTAGATGTTTGCAAATATGCATAAGAAATAGAAATGCCATGAATTATTTCTATATCCTTTCCTAAATTTTCAAAGTGTGAGCTCTGAATCTGAAATACTTAATTCTTTACAAAATATATCAAAGGATCTATCTGCCATTCATTACCAGTAGGTTACTATGAAAGGAGAAACTGACGTTGTGGTCAGGTGCCATTGAGTTGGTGCTGGCTCATCACAACCTTATGTACAACAGAATGAAACACTGCCCAGTCATATGCCATCCTCACAATCATTTCTATGTTTGAGCCCATTTTTGGCAACCACAGTGTCAGTCCATCTGGTTAAGAATCTTCTTTTCACTGACCCTCTTCTTTACAGGCATGATATCCTTCTCCAGGGACTGATCCCTCCAGATGACATGTCCAAAGTACATGACACAGAGTCTCTCCATCCTCGTTTTTAAGGAGCATTCAAGCTATACTTTTTACAAAACAGATCATTCATTCTTCTAATAGTTTATGGTATATTAAATACTCTGTGCCAACACCACAATTCAAAGGCATCAGTTCTTCTTTAGTTTTCCTTATTCATTGTCTAGCTTTCACATGCATATGAGGTGACTGAAAATACGGTGGCTTGAGTCAGGCTCACCTTAGTCATCAGTGACATCTTTGCTTTTTAATACTTTGGCAGCACATTTAGTACATCATTAATTTTCTTGACTGCCGCTTCCATGAGTATTGATTGTGTATCCGGGTGAAATGATAATCCTTGACAGCTTCAGTCTTTTCTCCATTTATTATGATATTGTTTATTGGTCCAGTTGTGAGGCTCTTTGTTATCTTTATGTTAAGGTGTAATCCATACTGAGGGCTGTAGATACTGATCTTCGTCAGTAAGTGCTTCAAGTCCTCTTCACTTTCAGCAAGCAAGGCTATGTCATCTGCATATCACAGGTTGTTAATCAATCTTCCTTTTCTTCATGTGGTCCAGCTTCTAGGTTATTTGCTCATCATACAAATTGAGTAAATTTGGTGAAAGTGCAGCCCTGATGCATACCTTTCCTGATTTTAAACCATACCATACCCCCTTGTTATATTTGAATGACACCTCTTTCTTGGTCTACTTACAGGTTCCACATGAACACAATTAAATGTTCTGGAATTCCCATTCTTTGCAATGTAATCCTTAATTTGTTACAATCCACAGAGTCAGATGGATTTGCATAATCAGTAAAACTCAAGTTTTATCTTTCTAGTATTCTCTGCTTTCAGCAAAGAGGCATCTGGCGTCAGCAATGATGTCCCTCATTCCATATCCTTTTCTGATTGTGGGCAAAAATTTCTGGCAGTTCCCATTCAATGTACTGTTGCAACTTTTAAAATTATCTTTAGCAAAATGTTACTTATATGTAATACTAGTGTTAGTGTTAGATAATTTCCACTTCCTATCGGATCACCTTTCTTTAGAATGGGCACAATATTTATCTCTTCCAGTTGGTTGTCCAGGTAGCTATCTTCCGAATTTCTTGACATATAAGAGTAAGTGCTTCCAGCTTTTCATGTTTGTTGAAACATATCATACGTTATTCTGTAATTCCTGGGGCTCATTTTTCCCCAATGCCATCACTGCAACATGGACTTCTTTCTTCAGTATCATAGGTTCTCAATCATATGCTACCTCATGAAATGGGTGAATGTCAGCCAGTTCTTTTTGGTACAGTGATGCTTTGTATTCCTTCCATCATCTTTTGATGCTTGCTTTTTTTATCAATCAGTATTTTGCCTATGTTGTTGTTAGGTGCTGGCAAGTCAGTTTTCAACTCAAAATAACCTCATGTGCAACAGAACAAAACACTGCCCGGTCCTGCACCATTCTTACAGTCATTGCTGTGCTTGAGCCCTCTGTTGCAACCACTTTGTCATTCTGTCTCATTGAGGGTATTCCTGCTTTTTTCCTAACAAATTAGGGCTTGAATCTTTTCTTCATTCTTTCAGCCTGAGAAATGCAGAGTGTGTTCTTCTGTTCTGGTTTTCTAACTCCAGGTCTTTGCATATTTCATTATAATACTTTAATTTGTCTTCTCTAGCTACTCTTTGAAATCTGTTCAACTATTTTACTTCATTATTTTTTCCATTAACTTTAGCTACACTGCATTCAAGAATAAGTTATAGAGCCTTTTCTAACATCCATTTTGGTCTTTTCTTTCTTTTCTTTTTAAAGACTTTTGCTTTCTTCATGTGTGATGTTCTTGATGTCATCTCACAATTTGTCTCGTCTTCTGTCATTAGTGTTTAGTGCATCACACCTTTT